GCTACTACCGGTAGGCGACGGAGTAAATCGAAAGAGGGAGGGGAGAGGAGGGAGGGGGGAGGAAGGAGGGAGGAGGGAGGAGGGAGGAAGGAGGAGGGAGGAGGGAGGAAGGAGGAGGGAGGAAGGAGGAAGGAAGGAGGAAGGAACTTCGAGGTCGCTGTTTTCTTCGAAGGAAAGAGAAAGACGGGTTGACGAAAAGATGATGGTTTCCAATCTCCGATCTGAGGGGCTGATCCCCCAGCCCACGCTCAGGCCCGTTATCCCTCCGCTGCCCGGATCGGGGAGTTTCGCTGCTCGGTTTCCCGCCTCGCGCATTCTCCCCCTCTTCAACATCCGCGCGCCGGCTCCCTTCGGAGAAGATGCACTGGCGAATCTAGGCTCGGAGCGGGCAAGCCATCGACACGCAGCAATGGGACCCCGCAGGAGAAATCCGATCCATACCACCATGCCCCCGTAAAGCTCGGGCTACAGGACGGCGTAACTCATCCCGGCGATATGTCACCGCACTCCAGGGTTATGGGCATTGCTTCTTTCATGAGAGGTTTAGGTGATGTTGTGATGTTTTTCGTGCATGTCTGGAAGTCAGTCAGGGCATCGCCACTCCACCCTCGAAATGTGCAAAATGAGAATGAACTTGCCGCTAGAACATGGCCAGATGCAACGGCCACATTTTTGTCTTTTTCACATTTCTACGGTGGAGTGGCGAGGCCCTGGAGCTTGTTTCATTTAAAATTAGAAAGTTTTGCTCTGTTTTTTTTTTTTCGACAGTGGTGTGGAGAGGCCCTGAGCTTGTTTCATTTGAAAATGGAAAGTTTTGCTGTTTTTGTTTCTCATCTACGGTTGATGTCGTCGATGAGAAGACCGGAAATTTCGTCCATGGACAGACATCTGCTTCGAAAAGGACAAAGAAATCTCCCATGAATCCGTAACGAAATCTTGCTCCAACGAATGATCCTAGCTCAGGGCACGCTCACACTGCGTACCCAAAATATAACAATATATATATAATATATACATATATATATATACAGTTTGTCACAGCCCCTCGTTTGTTGTCCTCTTCTCCCTCTCTGCCTACGGTTTACCGGGCAGTTCTATTTGACGATATATATATATACATAGATATATATATATATATACATATTACATATATATATAAATCGTATTTTCTAAAAAAAATGGGATGCCCGATTTGGGAAAATAGTGGGTGGACAGGTCACACTGCTTCCCCATTTTCCAACAGACAAGGTTGTGGGCGCCTGGATTTTGGGTCCATTTTGACTGCTCCAGTCACACAGCGAGATCGCTTTTCCTGGCAATATCTCCATGTTCACAGCACGCCGGAGAAAGAGAGAGCGCTTGAAGGGAGATGAACCACAAAGTGCTGCACGGTGTAGATGCGCGCGATTATGTAGAACAGTAGGACTCACCGTCCGATAGCAATATGTGCCTTTTTGCTGTAGCTCCATCTTCGTTTCAAGGACTCTATGCTTTTGTGCGCCGGCACTTCCTTTTGTGCCCCTGTATCCAATAGTCTTAGGGCCTCGCCACACCAATGTACATATGTCAGGAAATTTTTGACATTCCCACTTTCGACAGAAAACCCCTCTTCGCCGCACCGCATGTCCAAGTGAAGAACTCACGAGTCGTATGCACACAAGAGACAAACTGGGGTGAAGATAGGACAAGCGTTGGTGCGTTCTCTTTTTCGACATTCGGGCAAGAATTCGACATCCCATCCGAGGACTGTTGAAAATATGCGAGTTGCAGGCCTGAAGTGGAAACGAGCCCTTCTCGAGAGGAGGTGTCGAAACCCTTTCCCTGACAGCTCCTGATATTTTTTTTGCATCTCGGATTTCGACATGCTGTGTGGCGAGGAGAAAATGTCGAAAATGCAGTTTTCGACATTGGTGTGGCGAGGTGGCGAGGCCCTAAGGGCCTCGGCACACCAATGTTGAAACCAGAGTTTTTGACATTTTTTCTTCGCCACATAGACTGTCGAAGAAAAAATGTTGAACGCGCTTCGCCATTTGTCAGAGAAGTGGTTTGGACATGGGTGTGGAATGGCCCGCCCGGCGCCTGCAGCATGTCGAGTTTCAACATCTCCGAAGGGAGGTTGTGAAGGATGTGCGGATTTTGACACCTGCCAGGGTCTGGGTACTGTCGCTGCCACAACATCCCATGTCTTCTTGTTCTTTTTTTTTTTTCTTTTTTTTTCCGTTTTTTTAACAACGAAACTTTGCTTATCTTGGGTCTTCGACATGAGGTGTGGCGAAACTAAATAGGAACGTGAAGGTAGAGGGGCGTTATGTCTTTCTTGATAGAAATTGGAAGTTTTAAAGAAGACAAATGAAAGAGGAACGACCCTCGACATTATTATTCCGGTTTCGGAGGCGGAAGGATCGGGAAAAAAGTCGGGCGCTACTCACGGCGAGCGCTAACGCGCCGCTCGTAGCAGCTGTCGCGGCCAGGCACGGTAACGCTAGAATATTTTTTTTAGGTTGTTTCCTGCCTCGCTGCCCGCCCGCCATAGCCAGGCTATGTCGGTAAAGGGTAATTCGATGCCTCCACCTCGGATATGCAACGATCTCTCTGAGATCGGGCGAGATTACCCAAGGGCAGCCCGACCATCCCTGTTTCTCCAACTCCCAGGGCTTCGATCAGCCACACCAATACGCCGATACACCATTGTTATTCTCCACAGATATTCCCTATATTTACCTCACGGTAAAACGGGATTTACCATCTTGGTAAAAGAGCGCGGAAGCTTCCGAAGTATCCTTGCCCGTGGCGGATCTATTGGCTTACAGATCACCCGACGCATCCTGCTGTATCGATTTGCTCGGACCAGAAGCATCAACCTGCCTGGACCAGCAGCGGAAACCTAGAAGCACGCCAATAGGTGGCGAATTTAGCAGCACAGTCTGCCGGGTGCATTCTGCGGCGACAATTGCTCAGACTAGCTACACGAACACTACTCTGGCTGCAGCGCCAGGGCATTGAAGCGAGGGTGAACTCTCGCTAAGCTTGTGGTACAAGACACTTCACAGAGGATAACTCTCGACTCGAGCCTTGGCACGGACTCTCCCGGATCAATTGCAGAGGTAACTCCAAACCCTGTCAACTCCACTCCAACCATCGATCAGATTGGCCAGCAAGTATGCTACGGTATATCCCAACTTTGGAGGCTTACCTGTATCTACCCGATTGAAATTTAATATTAAAATTTCTTGTCTAACCCGATTACTCTACAATTATCATAAGTATTACTATTATTATTACCACCATTATCTCTATTAATTATTATTACATTTATTTCCATTGAATCGTTGATTAATTCGTTATTATTAATTGTCGTGATTCATCAATACCTAACCCGATTACCCTACAAATTACTCTACTGTTCTCCCAGTTCGAGTTCACTGAACAACTCACTCTCGCCAATAACACTGCCAAAAACAACCATACCACCATCTCAACGAGCAGGTGCACTAACAAACGGAAAGATAACCATCCCTAGTACAGATTCCCGATCCAAAATCGCATCTTCGGATCCCGGAGACCGTGGTTAGGAACCAGTCAGACAAAGATTGCCTTCCCCTTCCTCCTTACCTCAATAACCCCCGTCGCTTCCAAAACGCCATA